TCGAGACCCCGGGGTGTACATACACCTCAACACACTGCGGTGTAAGTGCACAGGAGCCACTGGGGTGTACATACACCTGTAAGTGCACAGGACACTGGGGTGTACATACACCTCGAGACACTGAGGTGTGCATACACCTCAAGAAACTGGGGTGTACGTACACTCGAGACACTGGGGTGTACGTACACCTCGAGACCTGGGGTGTACGTCCCCTCGAGTGCCGCGGCGTCCGTCTGCTCGGAGTTTCTGAGGTGTACGTACACCTCACTAAAGGGCCTGTCCGCTGCAGGATCTGCGGTGTACGTACACCTCAGCAGTGGGACTAGTCCGCTGCAGGATCTGCGGTGTACGTACGCCGGATTTGAGCTGTACGTACACCAGATCTGAGCTGTACCTACGCCGAGTCTGCGGTGTACGTACACCCGAGGGCCGTGGGGTGTACGCACACCTCAGCGGCGAGGCGGGGGCACAGCCGGGCGTCGAGGTGTCTGTACACCGCGGAAATCGGGACCTGTTTTTGGCGTTTTTGGTTTTTGGAAAAAAGCGAAAAAGAAAACAAATTGGGGGAGATTTGAGGTGTCTGTACACCCCAGCTTGCGGCTGGCGGGCCTCTGCTTGGCAGTCAAACCTCTGTAAAGCATTTCTTTTCTCCGATCGTTTTAAATCATTTTTTTTCTTTAATTGTTTTGAATCATTTCTTTAATTGTTTTTCAACTTTGCACTTTTCTGAGTTTCTATTATGGCAGCCACCAGCTGCCGCCGGGCCTGCAAAGACACTGTGGGGCGTGGGGTGTATGGACAGCTCTTCGCCTTCGAATTCTCTTCCCTTTCCGCCTTTCCCCCGCAAGTCCTTCCGCTGCTGCTGCTGCTGCTGCTGCTGCTCTTGCTGGTGCTGCTGCTGCTGCTGCTCTTGCTGCTGCGGCTCGGCTGGGCGCGGTTGCTGCAGCGTCTGCGGTTGCTGCTGGCGCCGTGGGCGCCCCGAGTCGCCTCTGCTGCTGCTGTTGCTGCTGTTGCTACTGCTGCTGCTGCTGCTGCTGCTGCTGTTGCTGCTGCTGCTGCTCGTCTGTTTGTCTGTGGGGTTCTGTCTTTACCTTCAGCTCGAAGCTCTCGAGACTGCCGTCCTGTGGCTGCTGCCTGGCTAGCTAGCTGACCAGCTGCCTGGCTAGCTAGCTGTCTGGCTAGCTGATTCGCTAGCTGGCTAGCTAGCTGGCTAGCTGCCTGGCTAGCTGCTTGGCTAGCTGCTTGGCTGCAGTGTTGGCTAGCTGGCGGGCCACCTGCCTGGCTGGCTAGCTGACTAGCTGCTTGGCTAGCTAGCTGGCTAGCTGCCTGGCTAACTAGCTGGCTAGCTGCCTGGCTAGCTAGCTGGCTAGCTGCCTGACTAGCTAGCTGGCTAGCTGTTGGATTGGCTGTTTGGCTTGCCAGGTGGCTAGCCCTTTGGCTGGCTAGCTGGCTAGCTGCTTGACTGGCTAGCTGGCTAGCTGCTTGACTGGCTAGCTGGCTAGCTGCTTGACTGGCTAGCTGGCTAGCTAGCTGGCTAGCTAGCTGGCTAGCTGAGTCCCCCGCGGAATGCTGCGGCGAAGGAACAACATCTTCGAAGCCGGGGGGAGGGCCCACAGAGAGGCCCAAGGAAACTGGAGGCCAGTCTTGCTGCTGCTGCTGCTGCTGCTGCTGCTGCTGCTGCTGTCGCTGCTGCCGCTGCTGCTGCTGCTGCTGCTGCTGGGTTTGTTCGTAGCTGCGGCGGTATGGGATTCTTTCGCCTCTCGAGCCTACCGGCAAGCGCCCCTGAGTTCCCTCACGACGCTTGTGCTGCTGCTGCTGCAGCTGCTGCTGCTGCTGCTGCAGCAGCTGCTGCTGCTGCTGCAGCTGCTCCTGCTGCTGCTGCAGCTGCTCCTGCTGCAGCAGCAGCAGCTGCTGCTGCTGCTGCTGCTGCAGCTGCCGCTGCTGCTGGCGCTGTTGTAGGCGCGTGCTATCTCTGACAAATCTCTGCTGCTGCTGCTGCTGCAGCTGGGTTTCAGCCTTCTCTCTCGCCGCCGGAGCGCCTCCCTGCTGCTGCTGCAGCGGCGCCCGCTGCTGCTGCTGCTGCTGCTGCTGCTGGTTTGGCGGGACCTTGAGGAGGGGCCTGAGGGAAAAAGGCTTCACCATTTTGCCGCAGCTAAGACACTCCTGCTGCACTTCGGGGTAAGAGAAGCCGCTGCGCCATTTGCTGCTGCAGCTGCTGCAGCAGAAGCAGCCAAAAGACCTCTCGCTGCACACCCCCTGCATCAGCACGTTCAGCCGCCGCTCCAGCTGCAGCGCAGCAGCAGCAGCAGCAGCAGCAAACTACACAACTTGTCAATTAAATGCTTTATTATTCATGATTATTGTTTCCCATTATTACCTATGATTGTTTATTATTATTTATTTATTTATTTATTTATTTATTTGATCACTTAATTAATTAACTAGTTAATTAGTTAATCACAGATTCAATTAATTGGTAGAAAGCGCATATCAGCTGCGATGCAGTGTGGGCCGAGGGTTTAGGGTTTAGGGTTTAGGGTTTAGGGTTTGGGGCTTACCTGTTTGCGAACTTCCCTGTCGATGAGGAGCTGCTGCTGCTGCAGCGCCTGGAGAATGATGGAGACTCTTTTGCTGCAGCAAATGTCTCCTTTGATTTTAAAAGCAGCAGCAAAAAGGGCCCTAAGTGCTGCTTGATGTGCTGCTAGGGGGTCAGCTGTACGTACACCCGAAACCCTTTTTGCTGCCAGCTGCAGCAAGTCCCCCACGGGCAACGTGCTGCTGCTGTAGAAGCTGCTGCTGCTGCTGCTGCTGTACAGCCACGGCGCTTCTTGCTGCTGCTCCGGCTGCAGCAGCCCCGTTTGCCACAGCCGGAACGCCTGGCTCGAGCTCAAACGGCCCGCTTTGCTGCTGCTGCTGCTGCTGCTGCTGCTGCTGGGGGCGCTGCAGCAAGTTTCCGCGTCCAGCCGCTTGCAGCTGTCCAGCTGCTGCTCTTGCTGCTGCTGCTGCTGCTGCTCTTCAATTTGCTGCAGCAGCTGCTGCCATTCTGCTGTGCCCCGCTTCGGCGTTTGGTAAGGGTTGAAGGCACCCCAGCCCGCAAACTCAGGGGGCCTAGCAGCAGCAGCAGCAGCAGCATCTGCTGCTGCTGCTGCTGCACTGTCGTTGCATATAACGAGCAGATCCCACCTTTTAGGGTTTTGCTTCAAGTCCGGCAAGAAAGACAAGAAGTCAGAGAGCTCAGATACGGAAATTAGCTGCTGCTGCTGCTGCTGC